CTCGGATCCACCGAGTAATTTTATCAACCGAAGCTTGACATTCTTTAGAGTTCAGGTTCCCTGCAATTAGTGGTGTGATCCTCCAGCTGCATATTGTCAATCCATGCACTAAAATTCTGACAACTAGCTCCCATATCAACCCTATTAGAAGACTCTGCAGGGTCCCTTATGGCATTGAAATCCCCTAATACAATCCATGGTTTATCACTGACCTGATGCTGTTGCATCTCCAAGTACATTTCCCGCCTCTTACCAAGATCATTGGATCCATATACAAAAGTAAGGAACACTTGTGTACGACCCTCCATAAGAAACCCATGAATAAATTGCTCACCTTAGTCCAAGACAGAAAACTGCATAGATGACTTCCAAAAGACCCAGATCCTACCCAGATTCGCAGCAGAGTAGTTATCCTCAACCATCCAATCAGGAAACTTTTTTGTTTGAATTTTCTTTGCATTAACTTCAGCCACTGGTGTTTTTCAATGACAGCACCTATATCCACTTTGTTTTTGTGAAGCATTTTCCTTATAAACTCCTGCTTGTCAGGGGAATTGAACCCCCTGATATTCCAAGCTAATACAATCATTTAGACTTTGCCTTCTGCGGCCTGCCAGGCCTCTTCCTACCTTGCACCACTTCCTTACCCTTATTCACCTGCAATTCCGGGAACTCTTCAACCTGCTTTTGAGGGGAAACCAGAATTCGACCAACCTCAAACTGATCCAGATCTGACAGAGCAGAGAACCTGTTACCTTCCTCCCCTGCACCATTCCTCTGACCCCTCACCTGAGTAATAGCCTTCTGAAACTCCCCTCGGAAGGAAGAGATGGCTGAGGAGAGGCCTGCTAAATAGCCGGCTCAAGAGAGGACACCAGGCTCCAACTCATTCTGTCCCTCTACAGACTTCCATTCATGGCCAAACACACTGGCAGATTGCAATAATGGTTTGGTTTTCCTTTTTTCAGGTAAGGAGGGTTGAGTTTGCTCGGAAGTCCATCACCACGCGGTTGACAATGACACGGAGAGAGCAATTATTTCCTTTGGAAGTTGTTCGGAGAAGCTCGGGAGGAGCTTTTGAGGAGGATGGACCTTGGAATTTGGCGGAGGCAGACCTCGACGACGACAATCCAATTTGTTGGAGGAGCTTTTTCGATACAGCTGCTGGAGCTTTTGGCTCTCTCTCTATGGGCTCTTCCTCTATGCGCACCATGATACGTGCTGTCTTAGTGTTGGTCTTTGGCATGGTAGGTGCAGCACCACTTCAAGGACAGGTTTGCATGGTAGATGGAGCAGCACTTCCGCCAAGACGACAACCGGAGATCGTCTACGAGTTACTTGTGCAGACCTGGCCGGAAGGGTTCTGTGATAGAGCCGATTCCCCTTGTAAGGAAAAGATGAAAGGTCCGAAATGGGTGGCCCATGGTGTTTGGCCAGTCGGTGTAGACGGGACGAGTGAGGTGTTCTGCGATGGTGGGCGATTTGATGAAGTTCGGAAACGTAACCACAGCTTCCGTCACATTGTAAGTATTCTTTTGTCTTACAAACCCTTGTTGTGGTTTTCTGTTTCTCTTGACTGAACCTTCTGTAATCTAAAAGCCATGGGAGAATGCTTGGAGTGTACATACTCATTCTCTTTTTATGCTTCATCTGAATGCAGCCTGCTACCCAGTGGGGGCTTTGGAAGAATGTTTGGAAGGGGATTGGGAAATCAGAACAAGCGCAAGCGCAGTTCTGGACCGACGAGTATTACAAACACGGGACGTGTACTCCGCGAAGCAATTATGAATACGACAGGGGGATTGAAAGTTTGATGAAGAACCATGGCATGGATAAAATCCTCAGCAGAGCAGGCATCGGTCCAGGAATTCACAATAAGCAGGACTTTCTCAATGCTGTTCGCAACGCCATGACCTTTAAGGATGGTGCTGAGATAGAGATTCATGTGGTCACAAGGAGCCATCGGAGGGCCAATGCGCCGGACGTGCTGGACGAAGTCGGAATCTGCTTCCCTCCATTGCGTGGGACCGGTGGAGCTCCAATCGATTGCGGTCAAGCAATTGAGGAATTTGACACGTGCGGTGAAGTTTTCGAAATACTTCCGTATGACGGAAATTGACAAGCTTGTTTCTGGGTGAATGATAGAAACCTGGTATTGGGTTCAATATGAGATTGGGAATTTGTAGATACTTTACGGATTTAGAAGGGAATTGGGGATAGCAACAGAATTGGGGAAGAGAAGGAACAGAATGGCCGGCGGCCAGAGTAGGGTTTCCGGTTAAGCAGGGATTGACATTTTAGTTTTTACTTCCATCCAGGCTTCCACGTCAGCACATTGTCTTTCTTCCCTGTACCCATCAGAATTTCTTCTCGCTTCTACAGGAGGCTTTTATTGGGCTCAAAATTGTAAGAAAATGTTAACAGGGTTTCTCATCCATACTACGGGCCCACTCATATTGGAGCCCATCCAAGAACAAATCAAACAAAGAACCTCCATTCTTAGAGCCGGAAAAGTTTGTGATTTACGGTTCAATGGTTAACCGTTATAAAAATCATTGGTAAACTGTTTATAGAACCCATCATGATATATAACATACAAGAATTGTGTATTACACTAATTTAAAAATGTTAAATTGACCATAAACAATTTCATATTCATATCTTCACCAAAATATCTAACAAATCATTCAAACCATTTCACAAAGAAATCATAAATATTTTAGGGAAAATACAATTTAATAGCCAAATCTTTTGTTTTAACCAAAATAATAGTCATATCTTTTAGAAATAATTTATTAGTCAAACCGTTAAGTTTTCGTTCGGTTGACTGTTAGTTGACTCTGACATGACTAAAAATCAATCATGCCACATAGATGTCTCTTAAATTTAATTAATTATATTATTTAAAAAATAATAATTACAATACAAATAACCTGTCTACGTGTTCAGTATTTGACACTGATGAACAAATTCGTTGATTATAACAAAGTTTTAACTTTTACTCTTTTAGACAATCAGTGTACCAAATTGCAAGTTTTCCGGAATCTTATGTAGCTTAGAGAAACTTTTCCGTCTTTACTTTTCTTTCCTTCTTTACTCGGCGAACAGTACATGCCAGTCCTTTTTTCGCAAGGGAAACACAACTGAGCAAGCAGTTACAGCGGGGAAACAAAAACTGGAAAATGGAAATGGAAGCTGTCAAGTTACAGGCGAATCGGAGATAGTCCGTCACCTTGTTCCTTCTGAAGAAGACTGATCTGAGGTCGCTTGATTCCTTTATTCCAGAGAGGATCCGTGGAGGGAGGGGAAGATCGGAGGGAGAGATCGGCGACTGAGGTGAATTTTGACAGTGGCAGCGAGGACTCCTCCGGCAGTTAGCAAGCGGCGATCGAAAGTGGAAGCTCAAGGAACGGCGTCGTTGCATCGTCGCTCGGTCACTGAATCTCACTGTTATTTTCTCTCGCTCGTCGGTGCTTCGAGACCTCAGGGTAAGGATTTTCGATGCTAATTCTCGTTCTCCGATTGCTTGACAATACGATGATCCGTGAATGTGGAGTAGGAGATGACTGCTTTATTTGATTAATGGAATTGCTGAGGTCTTTGCCTGCATGTGTAAGATCGAGTGAGGGCCTACTGTTGTACGTTTGCAATGCTTCTGGTACAGGAGTGACATGGATTTGAGGAGAGACTTAGGAAGCTAATTGGGATTCTATAGGGATTTTGTAACCCTGGATTTCTGATTTAAAAGGGTGGTAACCTTTTTTTAGTTTTTTGAATGCTGTCTTTGATGGGAAGTTGTTTGTAGCAGTATGAACAGCAGGTCCCTTCTGCATTTTTTTGATCTGATTCTGCTGATTTGCTTGCTTGACGGAAATGCATGTTTGGAATCTAGATGACAATGTTAGCGGCAGTTTGGGGTGTTTGATGTCTCTTCAATCTTTTGTGCATATTTGAGGTATTCATTGGTTGTTTATGTTTATTGAAAGTTTTTTCTGAGGTCTCTTTTATGATGTTTCAAAAGGTGTTACGTTTCAAAAGGTGTTACGTGCACTGTGAGGGCTGTCAATGTGATACATTTGACTTAAAGTTTGGGGTTGGAAGGGCATAAAAAACGGAGGGAAGGAAAACAAACAGAAAAGGAAAGAGGGGGGCAGTGGTGTGAGGCTGCCATGAGGAGCAGCAATGACGGTAATTCAATGAAAATATTAAAATGCATCCTACTAGTAATTTTTAGCCAACATAACCGATCGGGAAACGGAGTAAGAAATGAAACCTCTTGTTGTTGTACATCCGGTGGCTGCTTTGATGATCCTTCTCCCTCATTGTTGGGCTTTGAGTTCTTTTTCGGTCTCCCCATTCACTGAAACAATATAAAAAATGCCCCGAATAAGTATCATAATTGAAAAAACTGATATCAATATAACATTTAACCAACGAATCGACAAATGATACCCAGATTCAACAAAATCGTATCCAACAAACCCCCAAAATGGAATTCGAGAAAACATAATGAAACAATATATAAAATGATCACAATAAGTATCGGAAGTGATAAAACTAATATCCATGTAACATTTAATCAAGGAATCAACAAACAATACCTACATTCCCCAAAATCGTATCCAACAAACCCCCAAAATCTACAAATCGATAAATGAAACCCTAAACCTCAAAATTCGAATCCCACAGACCCAGAATCTGGTCATCTGCAAAAAAAACCTAAACACCCATATTCGAATCCATGAAACCCTAAATCTACAAATCGAAAAACGAATCCATAAACCCCCAAAACGAAACCCTAAACCCCCAAACCGAAACCCTAAACCCCAAATTCGAATCCCACCAACACAATATCTGGAAATCTAGAATCAAAACCCTAAACACCCTAAATCGAATTGCATGAACCATAAATTATCAAATCCATAAACAAAACCCAGATTTCCACAAAAAAAATCCATGAAACCGAAACCCTAACATAAATTTTGAAATCCACAAACAAAATGAACAATACAGAAGTAGAACTACCTCAGCGTCTTCTTCTACCTCCCACGGCGGCGATGGCGGCGGCCTTCTTCGGCGGCGAAGTCGGCTCCCTCTTCTTCTTTCTTCTTCGTCGGCGGCAGCTTCTTCCTCGTCGGTCGGTCCAGCGTCAACGTCGGCGGCGGCGGGAGATCCAACAAGCGGTCGCCGACCTCGCAGCCGTCGTCGCCGTCGCTTTCCTCGTCGCCGTCGCCTCTCTCGTCGCTGTTCTGCGGTTTTCGGGAGAAGAAGAGGGAGAGGGTTCGAAAGTTGGAGAGAGGGGAGAGAGAATGGCTGAGCGGGTTTGTTGGGTTTTGGGTTTCAAATTTGGGTTTTTTTTTTTTTTCCTGTCCCCACTTTTCCCAAAAGTGGCTCGGCTTGGCCAAAAACACTCCCCCCTCACAGAATAGCGCCGGCGACCCCTGGCCCTCCGATGGTGGCTCGGCGACGTGGCCCATCATCCCACCGTGTTAGTATCTGCTAACCACTTAAAGGGTTATTAGCAGAATAACGCTATTGCAGGGTCCCCGCACTATCAGATTTACTCATTGCTCCCTCCACCCCCATTTGTCTCCCTCTCCATCTCTATCTATCTGCAAAGACATCAAAACCCTAAAAACCAAAACAAACCCAGTAGAGCTCGCTCGATCTCCCCCCGACCCATTTCGCCGATCGGGGACCCGATTCGAACCCTCTCGCCGGGAACTCTGAAGAATCGGATATGGGAAGCGGCGGGGAAGAGTGACGACAAGAGAGGAGAAGATTCGTGCTGAGTAGGCAAGGAGGAAGAAATGTACAAGAACCAGCTTCAGGAGCTGGCGCAGCGGAGCTGCTTCAACCTCCCTTCCTATACTTGCATTAGGGAAGGTCCCGACCACGCGCCGCGCTTCAAGGCCACCGTCAACTTCAACGGAAGAGAAGAAGAAGAAGACTGCAGGAGGCAATGCGGAAGATCGGAAGAGTCAAGGACAGGTCAAAGCCTTGGATGGACTGAAGAATCTGAGTATTTGAACGGGAAGCAGGATGATCAAAAGGAGACGCAAACCAGACCTTTCTCTAGTTTTGCCAGTTACTTGTCAAATTATCTTCTCTTGAGGAATGTTGTATGAGTGTTTGTTATGTTATGTACCCATTTTGTTGTGGTAGTAGTATATGTATAAGCTCTTAGAGCTGTTGCCTGCCAGGTTTCATATTAGGTCCCAGTAGTAGTATCAGAAAATGTCATCAATACATACATATATCTCTGCAATTTCAGGTGCTGTATCTGTAAAATTTCTACTACCCATCCCTTTAATCTGTTGGTGTTGTGAAATGCAGTGGTGGACACCAGTTAAGAGTTCCTTATCAGGAAGCTTATTAGGAATGGTGTTTTAATCTGTCAAGCTGGCCTGCTTTCATATTCCTAACTCGCGTCCTTGTCTTATTGTTGCAGCATTGAATTTCGATTTAAGATTTGTTGCAGGAGATGGTCAAATTTGGAGTTCCCAATGGGGTTTATGGACAATGACAGCTATCTGAAATGGGAAAACGAAACTTGAAAGCTCCACATTTTTGGACCCAGTATTTTTCGGTTTGGGACTTGGGAGGATGTTGAACGGAACTTCCAATGGCTAAATGAGGCTGGGACTTGGTCCAGTTCAAGCCATTAATTCAATTTATCCTCTCCTAAATTAAACAGACTACAATTAGACTCTGTTTGACGCCAGCAAATTAGCAAAACAGTAACATTGTTTGACAGTAGGACCTCAATTTTTTGTGTATTAATTTTCGTATATCGTCACTGTCAACAATCGACCGTTAAATAGAATCCATATTATCAGTCGAATAGTATAAAATGAATCGGTGTAGTGGTTACAGTGACCGAAAGGAATTGTTATTAAAGGTCAATTGTTGCTTGCTTTCTCTTTCCCATGAAATTGAACTAAGTTAGTAGTGCTAACTGCAAAATCAATCAATTAAAGTTGGGTTGGCTGGCAGCAACTGGATTTGCTTGCTTTAAGTTAATTGGGTTCCAGATTATGAGCGATTTGATAGTGTTGGCTTCTCTCGATTTCATCGGCTTAATAGTGTCACCATTATCACAACTAAAAAAAAGTCAATTTCTCTTATAAAAAAAAAGTCAATTTCACAATATGCAATGTGACATCGCACTGACATCACTGCCCCATTGTTCTAATTAAGGTTCTATATTAATTATTCAATAATTTCCTTACGAGTACATATAGCTTATTTCCATAAATTTATTAGATATTCATAAGTTGGAATAATCTCGAAAAATGTGTATAAAATTCTCATATGAGTATGAGCCTTAACTATGGTTAAGGAAGAAAGTCTAATGCTTCCTTTTGAAATTGTTTACGAAATTGGTCAAATTAAACTGAGATGTACGTAGTTACTTACGATGAACCAGGTTAGGACCGAAATAATTGGCTTCGTAACCGAACCAAGAAGTCATACCGGACAAGGTAGCGCCTAGCGGTATAATATTTTAGTGATATAATCCAAGTTCCACTACTAACATACTCGTTTTATATCATTGATATAAAAAAAATAGTGATAAATTCAAATAGCATGATACCGTTTCAACTGTAAAAAAAAAAAATGCTCGTCAGTTGATTTAAGCTTCACAGAACATACCGGCATATTATTTTCATAATATTTTTGCACCGTACTGGTTCGGACGATGATCCGCGCACGATCGGTAATTTACGGTCTGGCCTACATTAGGCGTACATTTTAGTCCGCTTAATTTGGTACCTTTGCTAATTGCTTTGGTGCCGATTGCCGAAGTACAAACTAAAACGTACGTGTATATAACATATAGAACGATGGAGATCAGGGATGTCACAACAAGAGAGTTTCAAAAATGAACAATGATAGCTTTGGCCTTGTTGTGTCGTTCTCCTTTCATGGTGGTGGGGGTTTTTTTTTTCCTTCCATAAATGGGAGCAACATGAGAAGCCAAAGAATGAATACAACAACGTGGACGTTGAATGCTTAACTCGTTAATTTTCATGGATCCAGCCAGCGAATCACTAATGAAAGCTAGCTCGTTTTGGCTTTTGTGTTGGTTTAGGGTTTCGTTGTTTGTTTTCATGGGAATGGAAAGCTATGGACGAAGCTGTACGAGTTGCTTATTATGATATTTGTTCTTCATCATTTGATCATATAACACAGGACAAACCTGCAGGAACAATGAAGTTAGCCTAGCTAGCTAGATAGCTATAGCTAGTTCAGGGCATGTTTGCTCCCTATATTTTGTGTTTGATGATTCTGAACCCGTACCTATAAAAATTGGACCCAATCCAAACTCAACCGTACGTACCTATAATCATTAACGGATTGTTTGCTTCGTGGATTTGAGAAATGAAAGTTTTGGTGAAACTTTAAGTTTTGAAAAACCATGGATAATACGAGGATTTTGGGTTCATTATTAGGGATGGCAAAAATATCCGCAATCGTGGATATCCGTCCGAATCCGACATAATCGGGTAGGGTAAAACCCGAACCCGAAGGACTTTTAGTGGGTACGGGTAAAACCCAAACCCGAATATTGCGGGTAATGGGTGAGCATGGTTTTCTCACTATCCAACCCGAACCCGCCCGATTATACACATGCATATGTATTTTGTGTAGAAATAATCAAGATTTTTGTCTAACATATTTTATGTTTACCATATAAATATAATATTTTTTGGAATTGTGTTGTTTAATTAATTTTGTTCATTCTAGTGAATAATTGTCGTACTTTTCGTTTTACGTAACGTGAGAATAAGTGTGAATATTAATATATTGGTTGAAGTTATAAAGAGAAACCATTACCCATGGATAACCGTGGATACCCGAAACCCGAACGGATATGGGCACGGTTTGGATTTTCTACTCGTTTCTTATGTGGGTATGGGTATGGGTAAAACCCGAACTACTTTGGGTAGGGTAATGGATATGCACTATCCGTCCCCGACCCGACCCATTGTCATCCCTAAAATTGACTTTTATTACCCACTTAACCGGGTAGGATTTTCAAGTCCATAGAGCACACAAATTTAGACTCTCAAAGTTTGTGGGTCCCGCGGATTTATTACCCCTAAATATACGAAGCAAACAATAAAGCTGGACAAAATTCATGATGTATCCAAATCCATCAAGCAAACAACTCCTGCTGAGAGTGTACATAAGTTCATTTGGATCTGACCCAATACTCATACCAACAATAACTCGATTGAGTCAAATTACCCACTAGGTCCACCCACTCTCTCTCTTGCCTCCCAATGATCACAACCAATTAAATGTGATCATATATACATAGTTCTTCGAGGGTCCTCCTCTCTACCTACGTTTGCCCTACTTAAATTGATCAATCAACACCCACTTTCCCCACTTCTCTGGCTAGCTACCTATCATTTTTGCCCACAATGTACACATTATCTTCACCAGCAATTTTGGCTTTACATAAATGCAAGAGATATCGAGTTGCATGTTTTTAAGGCAATGATGGACAATCCCAATTCACCCTTTCTTGTTTGTCAACTTCGTCGCAGACCCTCCCTCATTGGATATCAATATATGGCACAGGCCAACAAAGGTACATTTCCCTGCCACTCGTGTTATTGGGATCGACTATTTTCTGACATGACATTGTAGTCTTCTGTGACCGAGAGGTTTTCTGCTCGAACCCTGGCAAACCTCATTTCCGGATATAAAAACACCTTGACGCATTTGAACACATGAGTCGTTTGGATTGTTCATTTCTGGAGGCTAGAGGGTGCGATGCGTGAACACACACACAATGCAATCGCTCGATAGAAAATTATATATATGGTGCATTGTTGTGAATTACTCGCAACAATGCATTTGCAGCATATCCATATAGATGCGCATTGATACAATTCATCACTCACATTTCCGCTTGTAACAAAAACCACTTTTCTCTAAATACGACGAACTATATCCATTTCAAAACCTAACTATTTCAAAAGCAACATGTTCGCTTTGCAATCAACCCATTTCAAACGATGCATCATTCAACCCGCCTCGTAAATCCTCGACACCATCAACCCAAATCGAAAAGAAAGGTTATGATTTACATAAAAACTTGGAAGGTTGATAGGGGAAGTAGTAAAGAAAGATTGAGCCCTCTTCTACACACCACCTTCTACATGTCTTTATCTTTGTATCTTTTGGGTTTGCCTCTCTTTTGCTTGTTTTGGGGGACCAAAAATGTGTAGCCAAGTTTGGGGTGGGCAAACAACGAAACCACCATGGGAATGGCAGAGAGCATCTCTATCCATTTGTGGGTTAAAGCTTTTCCGCCTCACGGTGAAAACAACACAACAGAACCCACCCATTGAAAGCTATCTATCTACATAGCTATCGTGCCTTCTTTAATAATTGAAAAGGTAAAAAAAAAAAGAAACAAACCATATTGTTGTCAAGAACCAGTTGATCCCAATAACTCGAGTTGTTGGGAGAAGGTTATGCTGGATCTTATATCACTCTAACACGCCCCCTCAAACGAAAGCCAACCCATGGGCTTGAAGTTTGCACAGGCCCATTATACCATGTGCTTGAAAGACAACGGTTAATATTGGGGGTCTTGGAGATTCGAACACATGACCTTTCGGTTCTAGGCTCTGATACCATGTCAAGAACCAGTTGATCCCAATAACTCGAGTTGTTGGGAGAAAGTTATGCTGGATTTTATACCACTCTCTAACAATTGTAACATTACGATGTTTACTAATCAAGATATTGTTCGTTTTAGACCTAATTTTGCACGGTTTTGTTTTTGGGCCCATCATGATAACTTTACGGGAAGTCACTCATGTCTGCCGTTTGCACTGCTCCACATTGAACAAGTTTAACTTTGGAGCTCTTACAATAACTCATTCACTTCACATCGTATTGTCAATTAATGTTAATTTCTTTTTAATAAATCACGAATCTCTCTTATGTTTTAACGATATGAAATTTGTCTAACAATGTGTTACGGTAGTGGAAACTAGCCAATCTCATTCTTATCTATGGGCTATACAAAAAAAAAATGAAAAAAAGGAAGACAAGTGTGCCATTGAAGCAAAGTGGGCTTGGATCGAAAAGGTGGGCCCAAATCTCCACTTCAACGACAACAAACAACAACAACCTCCCATCCCCTTTAAAAGCTAACCGCCACGTCAGCATTCGATTGATTCACGCAACAAATTCCTCTTTCTTTTTTTTCTTTTTTTTTTCTTTTTCCGTGGGAAGGGGGAAGTATGGAGGGAGGCGGCCCGCGGCCCAGATAGAACGGGGCCCACTTGATTGGACCGGAGAGTGGGGCCCAAAAGGAAGCACTCTCTCTGGCATTATATTCCTTCCCCGTGAGAAAAGCAAAACAAAAAGAAAGAAAGGGAGTGGGCTTATTTTGATTTCATTTCTCCCAATTACCCAACCAAAAGGAGGGGAGAGAGGGGGAATTTAGGGTTTTATTCGATTTTGGGGAGGAAATTGATTCATGTAAAAGGAAAAGACAACACTAATTGCCAAAGAAGAGGGACAAAGTGGAGGGAATGTTTGTTAATCCCCATCACCTCATAGAAAAAGCTTGTGAAGCAAAACAAAAGATGGGTAGAGAGACATTTGACTTTGTTTCAATAGGCATCATCATACACACTTGATTGTACTATATAAATGTGTGTTCAAGCATGTTGCATAGATTGGTTCTTTCTTGGAAAACCTTTTGGGGGAACACTTGTTTTTTTTTTTTGCATCTTCTCCTTTACTCTCCCTCCCCACAATCCTATGTAGCTTTTTCACCATTATGGGGGGTTAAACCTTGAAAGAATGGCAATGTATGAGTACCTCAATCTTTTGGAGTGCTCGGGGGCTCGTACGTAGCTCATAGTTTGTACCAATACGAGTGACATAGGTGCAGATTCTAAACTTCTTTCTTGGAAAACCTTTTTGGGGGGGACTTGTTTACTCTCCCTCCCCACAATCCTATGTAGCTTTTTCACCGCTATGGGGGTTAAACCTTGAAAGAATGGCAATGTATGAGTACCTCAATCGTTTGGAGTGCTTGGTTGTACTTTTGGGGGCTCGTAGCTCATAGTTTCTACCTATACGATTGAGATAGGTGCAAACTCTAAACTTCTCTTGACAGCTCAAATTTGTGTGAAGTGTTAATCGAAATAGTTCAATATTAAGATCGTCAATGTATAACATACTTCAACCTGGCCAAATACATTATATATGTCATGGAAGGTTTGGTTACTTACTCACTACTCGTGTAGTAAGCAATTATGTAACTTAACTTTGCCAAACTGATCAAAGTTGTGAGAGCCTAGTGTATAGACATGAACTATTTATGACATCTAGAAATAACGTTACCATAATGAAATATCCAACCATGTAGTTTATCAACAAAAGTATGAAGAACTCCTAGAACAAATTTCACAAATACAAGAGGAAATGTTTAAGAGCCAAGGCAGTCTCGTCCTAGTTGTGGGTTTGGCGTGTAGGTCAAGGGCCTCGTACAAATGCATGTCTTGTGGAGTTCACTGCAATCATACCACGAGGGGATCCTAATGAAAAAAATAAAAACTTAAACGTGCGATGAATCAAATGTAAACGAGTCATGCCACGAGACTTTTTTATCGCTTACTTCAACTATATGTCTAATTAGAGTTTCATAGTTTTATACTCATTATAATACAAATAAATTGATTTAAAGATAGCATGACTAGATAAAAAGTAAGATTCACCACACCTTATACATTAAAGTCGAACAATCATCTATAAATCAAATGAGTATTCATTTCCTTATAATAACTCCTTAGGTATCCTCCAATAAACTATTTTTTTTCATTGTCATATTCCACTTATGCTACACTAATACTTTTCTTATTCAATTCATGCCTCCATTTCCCCTCTTTTTTGCTGGAAATTTATGCCTTTTCCCCCTCACACACATGTATATCTCCGGGATTAAAAAGGAATCCCGCCCAATAAAATATTTTAATACATCTTTGCTTCATATCTTTTTATTATTTTAAGTTGCAAGAAAATGGGCAATGATTGTGGCAAAAAGAGAAATTTCATCCTGTTTTGCATAGCAATAATTAAATCAAACTTGCATATCTTAGTGATTTATCGTTGCTTGTGACACAATGCAGCCACTGACGGGTCATGTGATGCCACTCCCAATAACAATATTGTACAGAAAGTGAAATTATCAAATTTTGAGTCCAACCAAAGGTTAACAATTACCTTTTAAAACATTAAATATAATTCTATAATAATTAAATGGAAAAAATAACATGCAATGAGTTCATATACGAGAAGACTAGGTAGTGCTGGAAACCAAATTGTCATTACCCGCAATCATAATTAGTAAAATACGGTACGGGAAATTTACGTAAAAAATACGTACGGGTAGTTTACGTCGTCCCTAAACTAATGTTACGTTTAATAGTACGTTAATAGTTGTAAATACATAAAAATTAATTATTTTAAAATTAAATAAATATATAAATAATAGTAAAGTTCACAATTTAATTCATTTAATACGGATATTAAACGTGTTATACGGGTTTTATACGTGTTTAGTACGGGAGCCATCAAATGAACGGGAAAAAATGAAACGGCTTGACAATAATACGGATACGGAAGTTTTAAACGGATATAATACGTACGCGTACATATACGTGTATTAAACGGAGTATTTACTAACTATGCCCGCAATAATAGGTTGAGTTCGACTTGAACCAATTTATATGTGTCGATGTAATAGCTTAATTTAGTCATTTATGGCTGAATTGCTAAGTTATTTTATAATAAGAATTCGCCGAAACAATCTTGGAAACTATTAGTGATTGTACATAGTATAATCGTTATCAATAGGACGATGACGAGTCACATCAAATACACATTGTTATATATATGATAATTGGCAATCCACTCTAAATATTCACAACCGACATAGATTCTTCTCCTTTATCATAGCTTCACGCTAGATTTCTAGTGGTGACTCTGACTCCATTCTACATTCTCGTTAGTCGTTGATTTGTAGAGTAACATTCAACATCCATTAATTTAAAGAACAAATGTTAATTTTGAGTTCCAATAGGAGGACTACGGGTTAATCTCTTAGACAGATGTAAAATATTTTAAAGTATATTATACAAGCTCCGGTCGAGCTAAACATTTTAAACTTGAAGTCAGTTATACATCATACTAGGGGTGTAAGTTTGACCTTAAAATCCACTGACCCGCCTCGATCCTCAGGGTCGGGCTGGGTCAGTTTGTCTACAGGGTCAATTTAGGGTCGGTCACTTTTTGACCCTATGACCCTTAGTATCATACAAACACGTTGGACCTATTTGTAAAATTTTAAAACTTTAGGTACTAAATTGTAAAAATTAAAAATTTTGGGCACCAAAACGTAATTCTACCATAAAATTTTATGGACTTATTTGTAAAAAAATAAAATTTAGGTACTAAAATGTAAGAAAAAATAAATTCGGGTACCAAATTGTAATTTTTAGAAAAGTAGTTTATTTATTAGGGTCGACCCACTGACCCGACCCGACCCTAAAGGGTCAGACAGGGTCATAAAAGAAATAGGGTCGGCGCGGGTCAGTTATACATCTTGACGCTTCAGGGGCGGGCAGATAGGGTCAGGACAGGGTCAGGCCAATTTTCAGTCCTACATCATACCGCACATGAAAAGAAGAAGAGTGACTTTTGAAATTACGAACAACAATAAGAACCGGATTAGACATATCGATCGAAAACCTTTCCAGTCCATATGTCTTTCTCAACCCATTTTTTGTTCCATAGTAGTAGTTAGATTTCCTTTTTCATAGTCTTTGCTCGACTTCATTACCAACCCCCAATCCAACATGCGAGTAAGAATATTGAATACACATACACGTTGGTAGAGATAGTGGTTTGACCAATGCACAATGTAACAACAGAACAGAGATACGATAAAAGATACGGCGGTGGTGCGACCGTGAAAGTGAAGTGTAAGCACTAAGCAAAGGCAATGAGGAAAAAAGGGCTTTGGGATTGTGGCCTTGTTTCGGTGCGATGGCCCGGCGTGGGATGACTCATAGGAATGGCTAGGGATGGCAATTTCGACCTGACCCGATTTACCCGACCTGTTTGACCTGTTTTGGGGCGGGTCAAACGCGCCTCGTAGGCGGGGCGGGGCGGGCATGGGTACCTCTCATCGACCCGACCTGCCCTGACCCGCCCCATTCTCGACCCGTTGTTGCCTAAATTACATATAATCTTAGTGAAATTACTTAAGATTTTCCTCTTATTACATTATATTTTAGCTATAATAAAGTTGTAAATAAGTGAAAACCTCAATTTCTTCAATAATTTAACTACATTTTATCATATTATGGTTTCTTTCTTGGTCTTTCAATGAAAAGAACGAATATTTCTAATGTCATTCACATAAATTACATACCAATGGGTCGACCTGCCCCGACCCGCGCCCCGTGATAAATTACCCGACCTGCCATGGGACGGGTATGGGTATCAAGATACCCGCCCCGGACCTGCCCCATTGCCATTCCTAGGAATGGCAATTGGTGGCTTACGGCGAGTATTTCTATACTCATACTCGTTAATTATGTGGCAGGTTTCTGTTCAAGTTATAATTTATATGCGAATTGTGGCACATTTATTCATATGAGTATATAATTTAAAGGTAAAATAATAGAAATGTTGAAACAAACCATAACATGATAAATGTAGTTAAATTGTGTGAGAGTCCGCTTGAGGTGAGTACTCTAATTCGTCGTCTATAAAACAGATATTGCTCATCTAAAATAAGTATAGATAAAACGGATCATGCCGAAATTACGATCTACGCTCTACACACGCCTCCCTCAAGCTCTGAGTCTAAACCACATGTCATTTCGACAAATCCCTAGGGACAAACCCGTAAATGCGTCCGCCGAAAAACTGATTAAACAATTTCCCGTTTTTTTTTCTTATCGTGGCGCCACGAAAAATATAATAAACTAATTAAAAAGTCACAAAAAGGCAACATAAATGGGAAAACCAATTACGACATTGGTAAGTTTGTCGGCATGCGTGCGAATGAAATGAAACTGCCCTCTCTCTCCTTCCTCTCTTTCTCTCTCTAGCGTAGTCTGAGTCTTACACTATACCCACAACAGAGCTGGACACTGCTCGAAATCAAAACCCCTTTTTTCTCAGAAAGTGAAAGAGAGAGAGAGAGAGAGGAACAGAGCACTCTGTTTTTGTTCAGCTCACTGGTGCCCATTTTCGCCCTCCTCCACCTTCTTCTTCTTGACTTCACCATTTCTCTTCTTCTGTGTGTGATTGGAAAGGAGAATTGGTTGAGAGGGAAGGTAATTTTCTGTAATGTCACGCCCACGCCCGCAGCCGCTGCTGCTTGGCTCTCTTGCTCCGTTGAGAGAGAGAGCCAACCCTCTTCTTTAGCTAACTCACTCACGAGGAAGAACCCAGCCGCCATAGTCTGAGCTGGGGATTTGCTGGTTTTGGGAAAAAAAATTGGGGGTGTGGACGCTGAAACAGGGAGTCAAGTTTGGATTTTTGTTGTAAATTTTTTTCCCGTTTCGTTTCTTGGGGTTTTCCCCCTTTTGAGTCTTATTGAGTTGGGTTTTTTTTTCTTTCTTTCTTTTGCCCCGTTCTTCGTTCCTTTCCGTGTTGGCGAACCGTTCCGTCAAGGTCTGAAAGCTACAAGTTTCTCAGATAGTTCCATTTGAAGGGGTTTTCTTCTCAAAAATAGTTGGTTGCTCTGTTTTCATTTCTCTCTTTTTTCAGCTTCAAGATTCTTTCTTACTTCACCTCAAAACCTCACTGCCCTCCTTTTCTTTTCTCTCTCTCCGTCTTTGTATCAATCAAAGGACGGAACTTTACTAAAGACCCAGAGAATCTTAACCCACAAGCCCTCATCCCTAGAACGGGGAAAAACCGAAAAAACAAATCCAGAAAATTCCAAGTCTTTTCCCCACTCCTCTGTTTTTTGTCTCTCTGTCTGGTTTCTGGTGAAGAAAAAATGGCGATGATGGCGGTGGCGCCGCACCGAGAGAGCAGCAGTGGGAGCATCAGCAAGCACTTGACTGACAGCGGCAAGTATGTGAGGTACACGACGGAGCAAGTTGAAGCCCTTGAAAGGGTCTATGCCGAGTGCCCCAAACCCAGCTCGTTGAGGAGGCAGCAGCTCATTAGGGAATGCCCCATTCTTTCCAACATCGAGCCCAAGCAGATCAAAGTTTGGTTTCAAAATCGCAGGTTGGTCACGGTTTCCCGTTAGATTTTTGCAATTGTTATCATCAGCTGCTCAAAGTTGGCATCTCTTTTGGGTACTTCAATTGCGGGCTAGATCATAGCTTCTTGAGCAAAGGCATGGTCTTTTGCAAGTAGGTTTAGGTTTGTTTACTCGATTTGTGTACTTAGCTGCTCAAAGTTTGAATCTTTTCTTGTTTGGGTGTTAAATTGTGTAATTATATCACAGTTTTTTGAAATGGGGTTGTGGTGGTTTTTGGGAAGGTGTCGGGAGAAGCAGCGGAAAGAGTCTTCGAGGCTGCAGACTGTGAACCGGAAATTGACGGCGATGAATAAGCTGTTGATGGAGGAGAATGATAGGTTGCAGAAACAGGTGTCGCAGCTTGTATGCGAAAATGCCTACATGCGGCAACAACTGCAGGCTGTCAATGTACGTTCTCCATTTCTTGTGTAATGCTTACTACTTGATTGGATCTTGAAATGTTGGAATTCTGTAATTCCTTCTGTAATGAATCTACTTTGATGCTGCGGATATTCCTATCATTATCTGCAAATACTTGATGCGTATGTTGGAGGTTAGTACATGAGCAAATAATAGGAAGTGGTTGTGGGTCCAAATGTGCTATGAGTATATATAGATGTACTCACAAAGTGTTGGTGGTGTTGGTCTAGGTTCTAGCTGATTATTAGATGGATGTTTCTTGTAGTGCAGGCAATTTGAATGAGTGTTCTTTAGGAACTTATCCTTTTTTCCCCCCTTCTTTATTCTGTTTCTGCTTTTGTTATGTTGTTGCTTTTCTTTCCAATATGGGAATTTGGTGTGTAGTTCGGCTGAAATTGATTCTTACACCTTTGATTGTCTTGCTGACTGGCCATAAATGGATAAATGCCTACTTTCTTTTTTGCTTGTATTTACTTTCTTTGTCGTTTGATTTTGGTTATCTTTGAATGGATGCTTGTGCAGGGGTCGGCAGCAACTGATGGAAGTTGTGACTCTGTGGTAACCACTCCTCAGCATTCACTCAGAGATGCCAATAACCCTGCTGGGTAGTTACCCTAACTTATGTCATGCACCTGCTTTTTGGTTGCGCAATTATAATAGTGTTAGATCTGAAGATTATTTTTCTCTATGTTTTCTTCAGACTCCTCTCCATTGCGGAGGAGACCTTGACAGAGTTCCTATCAAAGGCTACAGGAACTGCTGTCGATTGGGTCCAGATGCCTGGGATGAAGGTGTTTACACTTGTTTGGCTCAAACTCTATTCAATTTTGTTTTTGGATTGTGCTCGTCATGATATATAGTAATATTTGTGTTGTGATTCAGCCTGGTCCGGATTCGGTTGGGATCTTTGCCATTTCGCAAAGTTGTGGTGGAGTGGCAGCTCGAGCTTGTGGTCTTGTGAGCTTAGAACCAACGAAGGTATACTCACCAGTAACCACATCTTTGCTACTCGTTAGCTTTGTGTTATATTGTCTTTGGGGCGTTATGGAACTGTAGAAAATGACATGGAATAACACACTTCTTCACAGATAGCAGAGATACTTAAAGATCGTCCATCTTGGTTTCGGGACTGTCGGAGCACTGAAGTGTTTACCATGTTTCCAGCTGGAAATGGTGGAACTATTGAACTTGTTTACAGTCAGGTGAATGTCTTGATTCCTTGTGCTCTATTACCTGATCTCTATTTTCATCCCCTTGAAGTGGACCTTATTGAAATTTGTTTCAGACGTACGCTCCTACAACCCTGGCTCCTGCACGGGATTTCTGGACACTCAGATATACTAAAACCTTAGAGAATGGCAGTCTTGTGGTATGCTTGTTCTTCTATGACTTCTTTCAATCTGTTGCAATTTTATTTTATAGTTCCATCTTGCTAAAGACGACTTTCTTGGTGTTTTCTCTTATTGACTTGTTGTTCTAGATCTGTGAGAGGTCTCTTTCTGGATCTGGTGCTGGTCCAAGTGCATCTGCAACTTCTCAGTTTGTCAGAGCAGAAATGCTGCCAAGTGGCTATCTGATACGGCCTTGTGAGGGGGGAGGGTCAATCATACACATTGTTGATCATCTGAACCTTGAGGTATAAGAAACTTCAATATTAATTACTTTAGGCAGTTTATGCCAAGGATTTACTCAAATAGCACTTAAACCATGCAGGCTTGGAGTGTTCCTGAAGTGCTTCGACCTCTGTACGAATCATCAAAAGTTGTTGCACAAAAAATTACAATTGCAGTAAGCACATTATGCTGGATTCCATATCTTTTCCTGCAACACTCTATCCTTTAGAAGTTTCTGATTTGATTGGCTTTTGTGAAGGCACTACGGTATGTAAGGCAAATAGCTCAAGAGACCAGTGGTGAGGTGGTGTACGGTCTGGGCAGGCAGCCAGCTGTACTGAGAACTTTCAGTCAAAGATTGAGCAGGTAGCTTGGGACGAATCTTGATTGTGCAGTAACAATTCAGCAGGTCATTAGATTTCTGTATGACCTTTTTTTCTTAAAATATTTTCAGAGGATTTAATGATGCAGTCAATGGGTTCAATGATGATGGGTGGTCTGTGATGGCATGCGATGGAGCTGAAGATGTCATAATTTCTGTTAATTCTACCAAGAATTTAACCAGCACTTCTAATCCTGCCAACTCCTTTGCATTCCTTGGAGGGGTCCTTTGTGCCAAGGCTTCCATGCTGCTGCAAGTAAGTACAAAGATGTCTAGTTGATGGTAGTCATGTCGGAATAGCTGAAACTCTACGTCTTTGGCCTGACAATTGAGTATGTGATCTTCTTGTTGTCGGTAGAATGTCCCTCCTGCAGTTTTGGTACGCTTCCTGAGGGAGCACCGTTCAGAATGGGCTGATTTCAATGTGGATGCCTATTCTGCCGCCTCGCTAAAGTCTGGTTCGTATGCATATCCAGGAATGAGGCCTACTAGGTTTACAGGGAGCCAAATAATCATGCCACTTGGTCACACTATAGAGAATGAGGAGGTACATCATCTCATTTGGTAGTTCTTTAATCTGAATTCGCTGGATAGCCTCCACACTGGAGCCATCCCTTTCATTGGGGAGTGCCACTTTTGAACAAGATGCTAGTTGAATAATATGATTAAACATAACCATCTCATTATTGGTGCTGAACTTTATCTTGTCCCAGATGCTTGAAGTTATCCGACTAGAAGGTCATTCTCTAGTGCAAGAAGATGCCTTTGTTTCAAGAGACATTCATCTCTTGCAGGTATAATGTCTTGTGATTTTCTGTGGAGACTTTTGCAAGCGAGACAAATGTTGTGACTTCACTAATTTGGTTTGAAGTGCTTTACATGTTCTTAAAGAGTAACAAAAGAGGGTTACTTCTTCCGCAGATTTGCAGTGGAATTGATGAAAATGCAGTTGGAGCTTGTTCAGAACTTGTCTTTGCTCCAATTGATGAAATGTTCCCTGATGACGCCCCATTACTCCCTTCTGGTTTTCGTGTCATCCCATTGGATTCAAAAGCAGTAAGTGCTTGGGGAGCGCCTATAAATCCTCAACTTTGACGTTGCATATCAAAATATATTGCAAAATGTATGATATGATTACTTTGTGCAGAAGGATACTCAGGATGCCTTGAATGCAAATCGTACTCTAGATCTAACGTCGAGTCTTGAAGTGGGTCCTGCAACAAATCCTTCTGCTCAGGATGCTTCATCATCTGGTCAAAATTTGCGATCAGTGTTGACCATCGCCTTCCAGTTCCCATACGAGAGCAACCTGCAGGAAAATGTTGCTACCATGGCAAGGCAGTATGTCAGAAGTGTGATATCATCGGTTCAGAGGGTTGCAATGGCCATATCCCCATCTGGATTGAACCCATCCTTGGGGCCCAAGCTATCTCCTGGCTCTCCTGAAGCCCTTACCCTTGCACAGTGGATCAGCCAATCTTACAGGTAAGTTTCCAAATTCAAATTTGGCTACTTAGAAGAACCATGATACTGTTGTCTGATCTTTTCCTTTCCTTTCTTCCTCAGTTACTATACAGGAGGAGAGTTGCTGAATTCTGATGATTCTTCAACTGGAGGAGACTCAGTGTTGAAAAGTCTGTGGCATCATCCGGATGCCATTTTGTGCTGTTCATTGAAGGTAACACATTACCTTTCTTAATCAACATTCTGGTCAACAAGTTATGATGACGCATCAAACGCTGAGAGAACTTTTTCCCAAATCTATTTTTGCTGTGCAGTCGCTGCCCGTGTTCATCTTTGCGAATCAAGCAGGGCTCGACATGCTGGAAACGACTCTGGTATCTCTGCAAGACATCACATTGGATAAGATCTTCGATGAATCCGGTCGAAAGGCACTGTGTGGGGACTTTGCAAAGTTGATGCAACAGGTACATTATATGTGCATAGAACAATCTTCTTTCCCGAGCATATTATATCAAAATCTCGTGACATTTAGACTTCGATATTGAAACTAGACTTCTCATATGATCATGTCTGCGTGTTGACCACAGGGGCTTGCTTACTTGGCGGGCGGGATGTGCATGTCGACGATGGGGCGACACGTGTCGTTCGATCAAGCCGTTGCGTGGAAAGTGCATGCTGCTGGAGAGGAGAGCACAGTGCACTGCCTGGCCTTCTCATTTGTTAACTGGTCTTTTGTGTGAGAGTGATGTAGGATGGTAGGTTCCTTTTGATCCAAGTAATCCTTTAGTCAAGAAACAGCCTGTGTCTTTCTGGTAAGTGGTCGGGGAAAATGCAGGGAGAGAGAGTTGTGAAACCAAAGAAAGAAAACGGGAAAGTAGAGATGGGAAAAAAAGGGTTGGGACTTGGGAGGGTGATGAAGTGAAAGTTTTGTATGTAATATTTAAGGGTTTGCAGATTATGTATTTCATAATTAATTTAATTTAATCCTTTTTGTCTTCTTCTGATGTGTTTATCTAAGTTCATCCAGGAACCAGGATGGTACCCAAGTTTGAAGGACAGTTTGTATTTGTCCTTGTTGGAGTCTTTTTTTGTACTTTGGTGGCAGAAATGACTCCCATCATTGCATCTCCAGAAAACCTTTTAAAAGTGGAGTAGCAAATAAAGATGAACAACTCAGAAAAGTTCATTTGCAGTGAATGGTGGTAGTTGACTAGTTATGGAATTACTCAATAACATCTTACTAACGTTTCTCATTTGTCATTTCAATTAAAATCAGTTCATTATCTAACACCTTCGAGTTCACCGAACATTCGAGATCTGCATTTTTATCTTAGAAATTGAGATGAACGAACAGTCAACGATTACAGATATTTTAACCATCCCAACGAAATACTCATTTTCCTGGCGGGTTGAATGGGAAAAGGCTGTGGCCATAGTTATGTCCGCCATATATCTCCCCATGCATTTAATAGAACCGACCAAAGCTTCTTTAATTCTCTGTTTGTTTCCTCTGACTTTCTCCTACACAACAACAGCAACAACATTAACACCACCAAAGACGACAACAGAAGCAACCAATAACGTAGCTTTCCCTCTCCCCAGCTCCAAGTCCACTGTTCATTGCCCTATGGCAGAAGCCGGAAAGGACAGCCAAAATATACAGAACAGATACCCCACTTGCTACAGCACAAGTTACTTCAGGAAACCCTAAAATTTCCCCCAAAAGACTGACACTTCAATTCAGCAAATCATCGTTAAGCTGGCAAACTCTGCAGCCATGGCAGATCATGTTGACTGGATACAGTAAGCGAAAAGAGAAATGGAATTCAGAGCACAATGGCGAGTAGTTCCTGTAACCCCTTGGAAAATTTATCAACTACTTGCTGTGTGTTCTCATTTACAAACAACAAAAGAGCAAGGAAGATTACATTCAGGGTCAAGAGAATGAACTCTATCCCTCTCTCGCGAATCACGGTGGCAGCAAAAAAAAAAACGACAACAATAATTGAGAGACCGATGGGGCGGGATGCTTTTCGACGCGATTGTACTGCTTGCTACCTCGAGGCGAGCGACCAGAAGTTCAAAAGAAACGAGGGCAATGCGGTGAACCAGCTGATGAATGCCATCGCTGTAGCTGTTTCGAACTGGACGCAGTGGTTCTGCCTGCAGCTACCGAGATCGTTGTCTATAAGTACTGTGATCCCCGCCGAGGCACAGGCTGCTGCAAATGTCAGCGTGGAGGTGACCTGAAAGAAAGGGCGGGAAGGGAGAAAGAGAACATTACATGAGTAGGTTGATGGAAATTTTGTGCATTTCAATGCGGAGAAGAACTAGCATAATCCCACAATCAACGAGCAACTAACTAAGCGCAGTGAATTGATTCAAGGGAGGATACTCTTAGGACACTATGGCAAATGGTTTAAAGGTCCTTTAGTTTTTTGCTTGGACAATTCAAGGTGATAGAGAGCATAGTGATTGTGATCTTACCCCATCACCAATCGTGAACAAGCAGACAACTCGATGATTCTGCAAGGAGCGCATCACTAGAATGGCATATATGTCTACGATAGCCAGAGAAAGGCTCCACAGACACTGCAAGCCAGCTGCTGCAACAAGGTAGCTGATATATAGCAGATATCAGAATCCCTTTTTATTTCCTTCTCTCATGAAAACAAGTATCAGAAAACCAAAATCAGCAAGAACACGGCAAAAATATCGAGAAATCGAAGTGGGTAGAAGGATAGCTAGGACCATTTACAACACAAGGATGATAACAATCATTGCACGCACTCAACACATTAGAACCCAGTCCTATATAGAACCAAGATGGCAAAGCATGGTGATCGGGACTCAATATGACTACTAATGGGTAGAGAGTAATTTCCGTAAATTTGCAGGTCATCCATATGCATCCTTTGGGTTCAAACTATGACTTGGGAAAGCTGTGAACAACGAATCCTGAATTCCCGTTTGTCTAAACCTCTAGATTTAAGGAAGAGGCAACTGGTAGAACACTATAGAGATCAAGAGAATGGATCAAATACTTAGACTAAGCATCAAATGCAATTCATCCATCTTATTGAAGTCACCAAATCAAAATCCAAACTAGTCCACACTCAACGAGCAGTTTCAAGTCATATTTGTGCTAAACAATAACCCATTTCTGTTCAACATAGGTGTCTCCCACAGTTCAACATTTCTAATCAGAACCCGATGCAAGTGTATATCCGTACCAGAAGGCAGTGACGGACGGGAAGTCGCTAGTGGTTGCCATGACAAGAAGAGCCGCGGTGGCGAAGAAGAACTGAGCCGCTCGCAATGCCAACCCCCCTTTGGTCCCTGGCATCCCTTGTACATCCTTCATCCGAACTCTCGCCGGAGCGTTGTTGTTGTTGTTGTTCCCGCCGTCCGTCGTGGGCGGATCTTCCACCGGGTGAACCGACGCATGGCTCACACTCATCTCTCTTCCCCTGAAAATTTCTCTTCAAACCATCACCACCACCACCGCCTCAGCTCAGTACCTGTTGCCACCAGATGCACAAGTTCATAATGCTTTGCTTTATTGGCCTGTTTGGCTCCCGAGAAGAAGAAAAAAAAAGCAAACAGACGAAGGCGAAAGGAAACCGACAAGCAAGCACGCGCGCACCTACTCTGTACCGCCGAGTCACGACCTGATCGAGTCGACTCGGCTTCCGATATGCGTCTTCTTTACACAAACTCCTTGGGATTGAAGCTACCAGTCTAATCCACAGGACATTTCAGGGACAAACCTCTCGTTTTCTTCCCCGGAAACTTCACCAATTGATTTCTCGTCTGCCGAACGGCGACAGGACTAAGATCTGCGCACAGCCGACGAGCAGCGCCAGTTTCAGACGGGTAAATTTTTCAATTGAAAGCAACGGGAAACGGAAGGGGAAGGGAAAGAGTCCGCATACCTAATTTCCGGGAGGCGTGAGACACGGCGGCGCAGAGATCGGCGATCGAGCTAGAGAGGAAGGAGCAGAAGAAGAAGAAGAAGAAGAAGAAAGAGGAGTGGAATGCAGAGTTTATAAAAGGGAGGGAGGTGTCAGCGGCGGAATCAAAAAGAGAGCCGCCTCGTCGAATGAGCTTATGGCTTACAGCTCCTCGAGCTCCAAGGGTGTAGTCAAAATGCGATGGGGAGATCCGCCACGCGCCGCCGGATTGGAGTGTGTACGACACGCGGCGCGTAAAGCATTTTGCCGCCGGGACGGGCACGGCGGAGTGGTGGGGAAGTCGGCGAGTTTAGTTTTGGACGGCCAGCGGGTTTGCGAATCAACGTCCGCGTTACGTTTTGTTTTCTTTCTGTAATTAAGAATTATTATTTATTATTCGGGAAATGGACAACAATATTATTCGTGTTGTTTTCTTTTTTGGAAAAAGGCTGAGAGGATTAAATAAGCCCAGACAAACGAGAGATTAGTTATCTAGGCCCATCTTCCAGTGGGCTCTGGGCTGCGATTTTTGTGCAAGATAACAAGGTTTGGTAGGCCCATATGTGTTTCTCTTCGTTGCATTTTAGGTGTATAATTGTACTCCATCGTTCTCTTCGATTCAATGGATGAGATAGAAGGAGAATGAAAAATAATCACGTTTTGGTAAATACCTTTCACGATGGACATAAGTGATGAAGTCAGCATGAAACTGAAATCTATGGAAATAGTGGAATGAAGAAGGTAACGGGTTAGGGTGATTACTTGTTTTTTAGTAATTACGGTGGCAACCTCTTTATATGCCATTTGATTAATTATTTTTCCTTCTTTTCTAATCTTACGGTCAAGATTCTTTTAGGGCAATTTTGGAAATGAAAAAGTGACCACACCTGATTATTCTATATAATCTACCCAAACCCTAATTATATCCTCCCTCCAGCCAAACCCGACGCGGTCGCCTCCACCACTCCCGGCGCACTAATCCCGCCGGCCGCAGCCCCGACGATGACTCCGTGCCGGCCACCCCCCGGCAATGACTCCGTGCCGGCCACCCTCAACCACGCAGCGGCCAACCTCCCCTCTGTGTCGGTGCCCTCCTACTGCTCTCTTTCCATCTCCCTCCCGCTGCTCTCTCTCCATCACAACATACATACCCAAATATGATTTTGGTGGGTACAGTAGCAGCCATATTGGAACCATGTCCCAGCAGCACTAAGAATTATATACAAATACAACCATAGTTATAGTAGACATGAAAACCTAGATCTAGTAATTTTTTTGTTTTGGTATTAGTTCATTACTTTGTTTATGAAATGGTATAGTTTGTTTTTCATAATGGTATTGATTTATTTCTGCAATGGTATTGTTTTGATTTCACAATAGTAGTTATATTGATTGATTTTGGTATTGGTTGACTCTTGTAATGGTATAGATTGTTTGTATTGGTAGTTTTAGTATAATGTTATTACTTTATTTGTGCAATGGTATTGTTTTGGTTTCATAGTAGTAGTGGTATTGGTTGTTTTGGTATTTGTTTGACTTTTGTAATGGTATAAATTCTTTATATTGGTAGTTTTCGTGTAATAGTATAGATTGTCTAATGGATTGGTAGTGATTTCGTGTTTTTTTTTTTTTTGGTAGTTTGTTTTTCATAATGGTATTGATTTATTTCTGCAATGGTATTGTTTCGATTTCACAATAGTAGTTATATTGATTGATTTTGGTATTGGTTGACTCTTGTAATGGTATAGATTGTTTGTATTGGTAGTTTTAGTATAATGGTATTACTTTATTTGTGCAATGGTATTGTTTTGGTTTCACAATATTAGTGGTATTGGTTGTTTTGGTATTTGTTTGACTTTTGTAATGGTATAACTTCTTTATATTGGTAGTTTTCGTGTAATGGTATAGATTTATTTTGCAATGGTATTGATGTTTTTCAAAGTGGTAGTGGCTGTCTAATGGATTGGTAGTGATTTCGTGTTTTTTATTTTTTTGCAGAAAGATTGAGGAAAATATGGAAAGAAGATCTGGCCGGAGATTACGGAAGTGAGAGAAAGAGAAAGAATTGTAATTAATAGATTTTTGTAATTATCTAAAATCTAATTTATTAAAAAAATTAATTAATATAATTTATTTTTCATACCCAATTTACCCTTAGTAACCACGATGATTACTACTTTTGTAGTAATCACCGTAACCCCTCCCAATGAAGAAGTTATGGATGAAAAATAAAGTGCTTTGAAGTATAAACGATTTGAAGAATTTGGCCCGAATCCAAATTAACAAACAAGCATGACTGAGCCCTCAAAAGAGCATTATATTACGGAGAAGGGATCCAATGAATCAGTAAGTTGTTGAGAGATCGACAGATGATTAAAATCTAATCAGATGGCGATCGCTTATGTATATTGTATTAAGGATTTTGCTTCCAACCTTCGAATGAAGTTAAACAACAAACTTATGTGGTTAGTTCAAGCAACATAATAAAGCCTTTATCCCCAAATACATGTCATCAGTTCGTATGAACCTTTAAATGGGTGAATGGTGTACGTAGCTCGCAAAGTATTCTGCGGCCTATAAGGTGCAATTGAAGACAATGTTGACTAGAATCTCGATTCTCGAAGTCTTCAAGTGTGGTTTCATGCCACTTAATCAATGTGTTCTTCTTGATCACGAGTGTTGGTTTTGTGTCCAAGAGCCAACCACAAGATAATCGTTTTATACACGTGCCAATTAGTTGTATCGTGATAAAGTTGTAGTCTAATTTCAACACCATGTTTGTTGATAACAAACTTATATCATAACCCTAACTTATTATAACCTCCTATAAACCTAATTCAAAAGCAAAGAGAATCCATCAAGCCCATTTGACCATTACAAAGGAGATGAGCCCTATATAGTAATCAAACGGATGGAGACCCACGCAATCTAGTGTAGCTAGTAATGTGTTGATGAGGTCACTTATCACTAACGAAAGCTTCCAAAGTAGTCCACGTTGCCAATCTCGTTCCCAACCCAAAGACATTTTTGGTCATATTCTCAATTTATAGTCACTATTTTGTTTTCCTCTCTTGGAAGAAATAGAAGTTAGGGTTATAATTATTTCATTAAATGGAGAAAGAAAACAATTAGGGCTTTTAACTCGTGGGAGGTGATAATGATGATTCAATGGACGAGATTAATGCTAGAGAGGGTAAAAGTTATTCATAAGCATATTTTTCTCGAACGGGATTAATTGTTGGATTGTGGAGGAGGATGAAAAGAACTCGAGACCATCGTGGAGGCAATATGTAAAGGAGGATAATGAGAAGTGAGTGGGGAGGCATGAACGCAATCAATATGAAGGTGGTGATAGAGATTAAGGGTTCGTAATTGTTCTCTTAATGATATTGAAATTGTAATTGTTGGTTACATGAGACATTTGTTTTTTTACGAAGTTAAAGTTCAAATGTGCAAGATATCATCTGAAGTCAAAGATACAAAAAGACAATTATAAAAAAAGATACATAAAGACAAGCAGAGAAGAGAGAGACGAGACGAGCGCGCTTAGAGTGGTTGGTCGATTCTTTTTTCTAATCCTAAAATTACTTCCCATAAATCTCGGCCCTTGGATTAACTCTCTGCGAATTCAATGATTGAGAATAATTATTTTGCAGCCTTTTTTGTAACTAATCATTACCATGTAAATAAAAATTTACCAAACCAACACTCCTCCTTTTGGCGTTTCGTAACGGGCAGAAACTAACTTTGCCGCCAAAAATATACTTCTAATTTTAGTGATAAGAGAATACAATCTTAAATCAGTTGCGAACTACACTTCTCCTCCAAATAATCTCGCAAACATATTTACTACGTTTGCAAGTATGGCTCTCCGTTGCCAGATAATTGTTAATTTCCACATTATAAATAAATATAATTTAGCAAAATTAGCACAACTCATTTTGACGTCCCATAACGGCTAGTTACTGTTAACAACAACCGCCACAATATACTTCTAATTTTAGCGATCAAACTTATGCCGACACTAAGTCAGTATCTAGACTTCAACCGAACCAACATCCTCGATCAATTCCTTCCTTTTCTCTCAGTTAACATATACAATCTTGACATCCATATCAAAACCAAATCGAACCAAACCGTCGCACACCCCGAGCAAACAATTCGGTTTGGGACTTGGGAGGGATGGTTCATGGTTGGTTGGTGTTGGTGGTAACTCCGGAGTACATGTTTTGTACTTTACCCACCCGTTCTTCTTCGAGATGAAAAATAATGGGAAAAGGATAAACAAAATTAAACGTGAAAAATTAAAAGAGGATGAAAAACAATTAACCCCTGGCTCTTATTTGGCTGCTGCCACCTCTTTCGGCCCAAATTCCTTCTTCTACCTCTCGATCTTCGCGGTCTGGTCTTTTTTCGATCTCTCTCGCCTTTTCCGTCCTCCCTCTCCGTGCGGCAGAGAATTAGGGTTCCCCCCAAAGCTGAAAGTGAAAGGCGGTCTCTGCCTGTCACTGAGCCAGTCTACTTCTCAACCTTCAGCCCACACCTTATTGAATCTGGAGCTCTCTCTCCCTTGGAATTACCTTACCCGCTTCGTTTCCCCCTCCAAGTTTTATCATAGGGGTTACAGATCTGCACGGGTCTCTGTGCTTCAAGCTTTTGCTTGCTGGATTTTCACTGTGGGTCCTGAATCGTAGTTAGTCAGTCATGTTTTGGAAGCTGCCTATTCTCTCTGCTTCTTCTCCTGTAAGTGAGAATTTGTTGTCCGTCGAAGTCGTCATGGGTTTTCTCCGTCGCTTAATTATCGGATGCTTGATACAGTTGGGGAGTTTTCATTTCTTGGGTTCTTGGGGGGGTCTTGTTCTCTGCTCAAGGGTTTAATTGCTGTTGTATGGGCTTGTTGGTGGTGTCTGTTTGGGATGAGTTGTTTTGGACTGGTCAAGTGCCTGTTTGGTGGGTCTGGTTGGTTTGTTGGTTGGATGGATTTGTGGGGTTTGATTGGTTGCTGTTTTGTTATTCAATTTATATGAGCTGCCCGGGAGCTTTTCATGTAAGGGTAATGTGGTAGGTGTCAGTGTGCCATGTTCGTTTATCGTTACAGTGTGGCTGATACAATTGAAAGATTGTGTGCATTGCATTTGGGATTTAACTGCAGAGTTGCTTCTCGTGAAATGGATGCTATTGATGATTTTGCTTTTAGAATATCGATTGGATTGGTTATCAGACTGTAGTTGATGATCGTGCTGTGAGTTGTGTTGGGAAATGGAGATTGGAGTAATTTGGATATTGAGTTTATGTTTGGACTTTGGAGGGAGTTGGTTTATGCTTTGAAATTGCGTACTGTGCTTTCACTTCCTTCCCTTTATGCTGTTCTTTCTCTATCTCAGCAATTGTTTGGTTCTTTTTAGGTGGAGGCAATACTAGACAAGGAGAATTTCACATTAGAAGAGCTTCTTGATGAGGAAGAGATAATCCAAGAATGCAAAGCTTTGAATAGTCGTCTAATTAACTTGTAATCTCTTTTCTCCTGCTCGCAAATGTTGTCTCTTATACGCCTTTGGAATGCCGGGTTCAGTATTTGACATATCCATGCTGATCATGGAAGGGTCTTATGATGCATTAGCTGGATTCAAGTGGTAGTGGATACTGACTGTGTATTATACTATGCAGTTTGCGTGATAGAGCCCAAGTGGAGCAGTTACTGCATTACATAATCAATGAACCTCCAGAAGACTCTGAAAGTCAACGAGCCTTCAAGTATGTTGAGGCTGACTGCTGCTCTTTTTGTAAATGTCAAGGATAGCATTGGTTATAGGATGCTAGCTCTCATTTTAGTCGCGCAGTATTGCTTTCCGAGTTCATTTCTTATTGGTGACTGAATTAAGTGTTCTCCTTTAGGTTTCCATTCATTGCCTGTGAGATTTTCATCTGTGAAATCGATGTTATCCTCAAAACTTTGGTGGAGGAAGAGGAGGTTTGTTATATGTTCTTCCCCATTTGTTTCATCTGTCCAAGTGTACTACTTATGGTTGTTTATCTAACAGTTTGTTGGCAACTTTATGCCACGCAGTTAATGGATCTTCTGTTCTCTTTCCTGGAACCTGAGCGTCCTCATAGTGCCTTGTTGGCTGGCTACTTTAGCAAGGTGCGTATTTCTCTCTTTCTATATTTAGTATATTACTATTCAGAAACTTTGTTTTTATTTTTCTGATTTAGTTAAACTGGGTGTCTTATCTTAATGGATGTAACCTTTTCAGGTTGTTGTTTGCCTGATGTTACGCAAGACAGTCCCCCTAATGAACTATGTTCAGGTAAATATCCACTTCTAACTTACTGCTGTGCTGTAACTTTGCAAGCATCGTCTTGGCTTTTTCTTTTTGTTAAAAAGGCTAGATTTCCTGTGTTACAAGACTCTGTTTTGATGCATAGTAGGTTAGCCACTTCTCTCCTGCGCCAATACTTTATGTTCTGCAAGTAACATATGTAAAGCTCCCATGATTAATCCTCAGTGGTCCAATGCAGGCTCATCAGGATGTTTTCCGCAAATTGGTTGACTTGATTGGCATTACTTCAATCATGGAGGTAACTAGCTTACTTATGCTGTTGCCGGTTAAATAGTGGGCTTTTGTCCGGGCTTTAGAAAGAAAAAAACGAAGCGACTGCATGATTGTATCATTTTGCATAGTCGATGTATTTTTATATCATTGTTGGCAAGGTTTTGATTTAAGGAGCATAATGCAGGTTCTGGTTCGGCTAGTGGGTGCTGATGACCATGTGTATTCCAATTTTGTCGATGTGATGCAATGGCTGGCAGATAGTAATTTGCTGGAAATGATCGTGGACAAGTTGAGCCCTTCTGTAAGTGTTCTGCATTTACTACTAAGCTGATGTTGCTCGTTTCTTTTGGTTGTCTATTCAATGAGTACATGCTTTTTGTGTTTTAGTATATTGTATTTAATTGACCAATCTGGTCTTGTGGATATTTTTCTTGGTTTCTTTTAACAGTTGTTTTAATTCTTTTCTTAGCTGTATTCACATAATTGTGGGAAAGCCAGTGGTGATATATTTTTCTGTATAAACCAGAAATAGCCATTCAATTTTCATTGAATAGGTTTATATAAGGATGTGCTTGCCATATTAGTTTCAGCGAAGCCCTAAATCTGCAAATGATCAGGTCGTATTGGATATTGAGACTTGAGAGATGGAAGCCTAAATTAGGAAGTAAAACTCTTTGCAAAAGAAGTCGTTATTAGCAGTATAGAATGATTATGTTAGTCTTCTTTCTCATAGATAGTTGCACTTGTGGCATTTTAAGTGACTTTTTTTTTTTTGTAATATGTGAGACAGTGCACTCCCGAAGTTCATGCTAATGCGGCAGAAACGCTATGTGCAATTACTAGGAATACTGGATCGGCCTTGGCAACAAAACTCTCTAGTCCGAGGTTTGTATGGTTCTTGATGATGCTGATAATCCTTCTGGTTAACTTATGTATTTAACATATATATTTTGATTTCTTACTTGGTTCTGGCACTTGATTCTTGCAGTTTTGTTGCAAGGATATTCAGTCATGCATTGGAAGATTCACATTCAAAATCTGGTCTTATTCACTCACTATCGGTGTGCATCTCTTTACTGGATCCAAAAAGATTTACAAATGCATCGCTCATGATGCATTCTTTCCGAAGTCAACATATGTACGAGGCTCCAATTCCCGTAAATCCAGAGACCATAGATGCAATGTTGCCTCATCTTGGTGAGTGACTTTGTTGAGCTGGTTCTGTGCTTATTGACCTCTCATTTTTATTGGTTGATGATTCACTCATCACATATACTAATGCCTTTTGTTTTGCTTTAATTTTTCTGGTTATTATTATTTTATTAGGGATGTTGGTTTATATTATTATCGGTTGTGCATAATATAACAATAATTCATAACTTATTCTTTAATTCTATAAATAGGTGATTTGCTCCAGCTGTTAAATGTATCATCTGATGAGAAGATTTTGCCCACAACATATGGACAACTGAAGCCTCCCTTGGGGAAGCATCGTCTAAAGGTAGGTTTCGGTACTGAACTGATAGTTGTCATAAGTGTTCATTTGGTAATCATAGATTGTGCATTCCACTGAGCTTATGTGTTCTTGATGTCAAAGTCACGGCATTAACCGTTTTCTGTTTTCTAGATCGTCGAGTTCATTGCAATTTTGTTGAAAACTGGCAATGAAGCTGCAGAGAAGGAATTGGTTAGCTCAGGAACTGTTAAGAGAGTACTTGATCTCTTCTTTGAGTAATCATCTACTTCTTTATTCATTCTGAATTTATTAAATGTACACAACACTGGTTTACGTGCATATTATTTGACTAAAAGAGCTCTCTTCTGTTGCTTGAACTAACCTCATTTGGTTTCTGTTTAACTTCCTTGTAGGTACCCATTCAATAATGCCTTGCACCATCATGTGGAAAGCATTACATTTTCATGTTTGGAGACCAAGAGTGAGTCTATGATTGATCATCTGCTTCGTGAATGTGACTTAGTAGGCAAGCTTCTTCAGACGGATAAGAACCCTGTTATCTCTGGTGATCAAAATCAGGTAGATATATATAATATGCTCTTGAATTAATTAGAATAACTTTTTTAGAGAAGCCGTGCAAAGCTTCTGCTCATGCAAACATTACTGCTTCAGTGAGGCAAATATTGATGATGGCAAAGAAATCTTATCGTGTTCAGTGGGTTCTACTAAGTATCTATGTTTTTGTGCAGCCAACTTTACCTGCGACTGGGAAACGGCTTCCAAGGTCAGGAAATCTTGGACATATTACTAGAATTTCCAATAAGCTTGTTCAGCTGGGAAACAGCAACAGCTGCATTCATACATATTTACAGGTTGGTAGTGAGCTGCGCATTCAAGGTTTTCCTTCTATAAAAAAAAAAAAATTGTTGAAAGTTGCACAATAGCTAAATGTAAACGAACACTTGTGAAGTGTTTGGATGTCTCTCTTCGCTTTAAACGCCTAATGTTTGGATATGAAACACCAGGGTTTTGTCTTTCGGTCTAATGCAGTCTACACGTGTTTGTCGTGTGTAGGAAAATAGTGAATGGAAGGATTGGCAAACCATTGTGTTGCAGGAACGCAACAATGTCGAAAATGTCTACCGATGGAATTGTGGGTAAGTTAACACCTCATCTCATCTGGTGTATGATTCACATTCGTCAAATGAAATCATGATCTCCATAATCGAACATTTATTAATGAGTTTTCCAATTGATAGAAACTATGTTAATCATGGGCTGCTTAGCTGGCTAAGTGGACAAAGTTGCTGATGTATATAGGAGCAATCCGTATGACTTGATTCATGAGGTGTTTGTAGAAATCTTTTACCATCTTTATTGAAAGACCTAAGACATTTCTAACTTTTTCTCAACATTTTGGATTTTATTACAGTTGCCTTCATGATGTCCTTTTTTTCTTCAGTGCATGATGTAGAAACTCATAATCTTTAAGGTGTTGGATGATTCATTGATAAGCTTATATTGTTTGCTTTAGATTGACGGTGGAACTGGCAATGGGCCGATAGTGGCCAATGAAACCTTTGTTATGCCTTTAACTATTGTTATGTGGGTCACAACTTTGAGCTAGTATTATTGTGGTTTTGGAAATAAGATTTTGTGCTTTTGTCAGTTTGAGGGGGAGAGAATCAGAAAAATTTGGCAAGAAAAGGCTTAGGCTGAGGTGTTCTTTCAAAGTTAAGGGGCTCCCTGTGGATTTACGTTTGAAAAAAGAGAAGAAAAACATAGGATGTCACAGAAAAGATGTCATAGTGTATGTTTTCTAATGTGGTGTCTGTAGTTGTCCATATGCCCTTCTACACGAGGGATATGTTTTAAGAATTTTTTGTGGCTCTCAATAATAATGTTTGTACCTACCTTTTTCTGTGTTCTCTTGTTAAGAAATACTATGGTTTTTGTTTTGTTGCAGCCGTCCTACTGCACTCCAAGATAGAACTAGGGACAGTGATGAGGATGACCTTCATGAGAGAGATTATGATGTAGGAGCTCTCGCAAACAACTTAAATCAGTCATTTAGGTATAAAATTTATGGGAATGAGGACGCTGAAGAGGTAATGTGCTGTTTCATATCTATGAAATGAATTTCTGCTTTTCAGCCTGCATTTGATATCATTCTGCTTCTTAACTTCTTTTTCCATTTTAGCAGGAAAATGGTGGCCTTGATAGAGATGATGAGGTTAGTCCTTCTATTCTTTATCAATTCTTCAGGAATGGCTTCTGAATATTCATTACTTAAGGGAAAAACTGCAATAGAGAAGATGAAAATGAGTGAACAGTTTGTCTTTAACCTTCTGTAATGGGACTGCCTTGTGATACTCGATATGCAGGATGTCTACTTTGACGATGATTCTGCTGAAGTAGTTATATCATCTCTCAGACTTGGTGATGAGCAAAGGTGAGTGTTTTTCACTCAATTATTTTCACCTGTACCAGAAACAAGTTTGTTTCATGGTCATTCTATAAACCTCTTGTGCTTTCAATGCAGCAATCTATTCACAAACTCAAACTGGTTTGTGTTCAATGACGAGCGAGTTGGCGGTGAACCTGTCAGCACTTCTTCAGCTATGGATGTGATGGAAGAGATCAACTTGAACGGGAATAATGCGAACAGTGTTGGTGGTAACAGCAGTAGTGATGACGAGGTGGTGGTGGGAGAGGACGAATTGACCACCGAAACCAAAGATGATTCAATTTCTGGTGGTGGTGGTGCATCCACTTCTGACGCCAACGACTTCAATGGTTTCCCTAGTAATGGACCAAGTCCACAGACCAATGATGAGACCACTGATGCGGGCTTCTTCAAGTTCGAGACTCCAGAGGCCGAGGACTTATTTGCAGAAAGGCCATTGCCTGAATGGGTAGCGTGGGGGTCATCAGACCTACCAATTGGCGGTTCGTCCAGTCTGAATCCATTCCTTGATCAAGACACCCCTGATGATGCCAATATTTCCAATCAAGCTGATGTGGCTACGACCGAAGTTAGTTCTGAAGAACCTGTACTGCCAAACGGTTCCTCGCCAACCAGGGAGTCTGGCAGTGGCAGTGATGGTTCTGCAAAGAGTGATTCAAGTCAGAGAGCAGTCACTGCAGTGCCCTCGCTGTTCGAGGAGGACGTGGAGTTTGTAGGGGTGGAACCTGAAGGTACTGAGAAGGCGATGGATCAGGCTCTGAAGGAAGGGATTGTCGGTGAAGCTGGACCATTGAAGAGGAGCATGGCTCCTTCGCAATTGGCAGAGAAGGAGAACCCAGATGATGGTAAGGAGTTCAACGACGCCAACTATTGGAGGGTTGATCAAGAGGTTGCCGTTCTCGAGTGATAGATGGGTTGGTGTTTCGTTTTTCTTCTCTTTCAGTCTCTTGTAAACTGGACAACATATGGAATTAAAAGTGTAGAACTACAGCGGGGATGATGCCCCAGAATCCTGCAGGGTGTTTTTAAGGGTTAGCTGATTTTATGTAGAGTGTAATTTTTGGTGGAGTTTTTTTATGGTCGGGTTGGGATTGGGGGGAACGGATAGATTCATAGAGAGCTGTGTTTAGGGACACCTTTAATCTTTGACTAGTGTCTGTCATTAGGTAGTTATATTGTTGATTTAACTGAACTCTTGCTAAACCTCCAGCTGTTATCTTCTATATTCTCTACACAGAAGCACAAACTAAGGTCGGGAAGAGCCTGATGCACAGCAGACAGAAGGCAAATTCGTTGGTTGGTTTGTTCGTCGGAGGGAGGGAGACGATAGAGGTGGTGCTGAACGAGCTGCTGGGGAAGAAGGTGAGGGTGAAATGAAACGAGGATGACATGATCGGTGACCTTAAGAAGCTGATCGTGGCCCAGACGAGTTAGAGCCTGAATTCGACGAAGATTTGTATGAGGTTGATTGTGTGTTCTAATCTTCCAAGATGGAGAGAATCAACTACCCTTAGGCCTTAGGTGGAATGGAAGTAGAGCTTTTATAAGCATTCCAGAATGGATAATATGCCCTGACATGAGAGCAGTTCCAGCTAAGCTTCGTCACTAATTATCCACAACAGCTCTCTCGTACATGACCATGCTCTTGCAGGAGCAGATTCTGCAGTCAGGGGTTCATTAATCCACCAACCAAATATCGTCATTGCCGAGCTCTGTTAGTAGATACAGGATATGGAATGGACCACAGGGCTGACACCAGCATTGACTGACAGACTGGGTGAGAAGTGAAGGCAGTCATTTAGGCGCACACAGTTTTCCACCATATGTTGTTTTCCATTCATTTTGTCTATACACGATTGATTGCTCATTTTGCCAAATTTGGTACCTGGATGGCTCTGCATCTTGCTCTCCCATGGAAGAAAGGAAGAAAGAAAGCGGTTTTTGAAGTGGTCCTTTCCTTTGCCGAGTACAGTGTACTGCATGATAGAGAACCAAAAGAGGGTTATACTGTACTGGACATCAAATCGAGGTTCAGGAAACCATACCGGAGGTTATGCCGGGAAAGTGAATGGTAGGATATTTTGTATTAAAACCGTGGTTTAACCGTGATTGAACCGTTTCCTAACGCATATCGTTTTGAGTCCGGTATCCGGTATTTCCGGTCCGACCAGCCGGTACGGTAGAGTTTCCTAAACCTTGCATCAAATACACCAGCAAGTGCTAGCTAGAAATAGGGGTAGTGGGATAGAGTTCACTGTCTTGTTCCATCTCCCTCATGACTGATCAGTTATGTACCTATGTAGTATCAAGTATGTATTGAATAAGTTCAATCCTTATCCCTTGCGGATACCCACGAGTCTATCATTTCATTTAATGACACTGCTGTGATATATTTCTGCCCTGGCCATGACTTCACTTCACTTTGTATCTGCCAACCACCCTTACCATCAATTAATAAAACCATATGTCTTAGTCTTTTTTAGAGAGGAAAAAACCCCATCCTTGCCCAACATTAAACACCTAAAAGGGAAGTTATAGGTCTTCAATCAGATTCATGGTTCTATGTTTTTCGAAATGAATGAATGAATGAGACAATAAAGAAGAGGTATATCAAGTCCCCATTTGATGCCCATTTCATTCACATAACTAAGGAACAAGGACTCTCACCATTTGATGTGTGATTGATAGTTCATTTTCTTTAGTATTTATGTTAGCCAACAACCCCAATGTAGAGTATGTAGATGTAAAGTTCTCCTTTGGACATCTCAAGGTAACTCAAGTTATTTAGATAAACTGTTTTCTCCATCAACGATAAAGTCTAGAATTTGTCAATTATGACGGATTTTTTTCTGGAGGTAACTCAAGTTATTTAGATAAACCAAATGTAGAGTATGTCGATGTAAAGTTCTCCTTTGGACATCTCAAGGTAACTCAAGTTATTTAGATAAATTGTTTTTTTCCATCAACGATAAGTCTAGAATTTGTCAATTATGACAGATTTTTTTTGGAGGCCATTTTCGTAATTTTTTGACAATTTTTTTGTTGAAGAATAGCTTCAGGCCGAATCCATGACCAGTAGCCTTCTAAATCCAAAGAAAATGGCTTTTCGTCACCCAAAAAATTATGAAAATGCCATCCGAAAATAAATTGGCCCTTACCGGTGCTTAATGCACTTATCATCCGTGGAGAATTGGATCAATAGACTTCATTATCGGTGGAGAATAGCCTCGGTTTGATTCCGTGATATGTAGCCTCCGAAATCGAAAGTAATTGGCATTTCGGAAAAATGGCCTGAAATTTGTGATGGTTCCCCTTTGGAATCAGTCAAAAATTGTCCCAGAATAAATCCTCACAAATAGGTGCTTAATGGAGTTAATCATCGATGAAGAATAGACTCAGGCCAAATCCGTGATCTGTAGCCTACAAAATCCAAAGAAAATGGCCTTTCATCGCCCAAATAATTACGAAAATGTCATCCGAAAATAAATTGGCTCTAACCGGTGCTTAATGCACTTATCATCCATGGAGAATATGATCAATAGGCTTCATTAACGGTGGAGAATAGCCTCATAAAGATTATGTGATCTCTAGCCTACGGAATAGAAAGAAAATGGCATTTCGGAAAAATCGCAAGAAATCTATGACGATACCCCTTTGGAATCTGCCAAAAATTGACCCGAAATAAATCCGCACACATCAGTGTTTAATGGGCTTAATCATCGTTGAAGAATAGCCTCCAGCCGAATCCATGACCTGTAGCCTTCAAAATCAAAAGAAATTGGTCTTTGTCGCCCAAAAAATTACGAAAATGCCATCGAAAATAAATTGGCCAAACCGGTTAGTAATGCACTTATCATCCGTGGAGAATAGGATCAATGGACTTCATTATTGGTTGAGAATAGTCTCGGCCTGATTCCATGATTAGTAGCCTCCGTAATCGAAAGAAAATGACATTTCGAAAAAATCACAAGAAATTTGTGATGGTACCCCTTTGGAATCTGTCAAAAATTGTCCCAGAATAAATCCTCCCAATTAGGTGCTTAATGGGTTTATTCATCGATGATGAATAGTATCAGGCCGAATCCGTGACCTGGAGCCTTCAAAATCTAAGGAAAATGGCATATCATTGCCGAAGAAATTACGAAAATGTCATCCGAAAATAATTGGCCCAAACCGGTGCGTAATGCACTAATCATCCGTGGAGGATAGGATCAATGGACTTCATTATCGGTGGAGAATAGCCTTGGCCTGATTCCGAGATCTATAGCCTCCAGAATCGAAAGAAAATGTTATTTCGGAAAAATCGCCTGAAATCTGTGATGGTACCTTTTAGAATCTGCAAAAAATTGACACGGAATAAATCCGACTAAATCAGTGCTTAATGGACTTAATCATCATTGAAGAATAGCCTCAGGCAGAATTTGTGACCTGTAGCTTTCTAAATCCAAAGAAAATGGCCTTTCGTTGCCCAATAAATTACGAAAATGCCATCCAAAAATAAATTTACCTAAACTTTTTCTTAATGCACTTATCATCCGTGGACAATATGATCAATAGTTTTCATTATCGGTGGAGAATAGTCTCGGCCTGATTCGGTGATCTTTAGCCTCCAAAATCGAAAGAAAATGGCATTTCGTAAAAATTGACTCGGAATAAATCTTCCCAAATCAGTGTTTGATGGACTTAATCATCAATGAAGAATGACCTCATTCCGAATCCGTGACCTGTAGCCTTAAAAACCCAAAGAAAATGGCCTTTTATCTCCCAAAAAATTACAAAAATGTCGTCCGAAAATAAATTGGTCCTAATCGGTGCTTAATGCACTTATCATCCGCGGAGAATATGATCAATAAACTTTATTATCGGTGGAGAATAGCCTCAGTTAGATTTTTTGATATGTAGCCTCCGGAATCTAAAGAAAATGTCATTTTGGAAAAATCGCACGAAATCTGTGATGGAACTCCTTTGGAATATGCCAAAAATTGACTCCAAATAAATCCTCCCAAATTGGTGCTTAATGGACTTAATCATCGTGGAAGAATAGTCTCAGTCCGAATCAATGACCTGTAGCCTTAAAAATCGAAAGAAAATTGTCTTTCGTCGCCCAAAAAATCATGAAAATGTCATCCGAAAATAAATTGATCCTAATCGGTGCTTAATGCACTAATCATCCGTGGAGAATAGGATCAATAGACTTCATTATCGGTGGATAATAGCCTCGGTCTAATTCCGTGATAAGTAGCCTCCGAATTCGAAAGAAAATGTCATTTCGGAAAAATCGTCCGGAATCTGTGATGGTAACCCTTTGGAATCTGAACAAAATTGACCCGGAATAAATCCATCTAAATCGGTGCTTAATGAACTTAATCATTTTAGAAGAATAGCATCAGGCAGAATCCGTGACCTGTAGTTTTCAAAATACAAAGAAAATGGCCTTCCGTCGCCCAAAAAATTACGAAAATTTCATCTGAAAATAAATTGGTCCAAACTGGTGCTTAATGCACTAATAATCTGTGGTGTCGGTGGAGAATAGCCTCGGCCTGATTCCGTGATCTGTAGCCTCCAGAATCCAAAGAAAATGACATTTCGGAAAAATCACCGAAAATCTGTGATGGTACCCCTTTGGAATCTGTCAAAAATTGACCAGTAATAAATCCACCCAAATCGGTGTTTAATAGACTTAATCATCATTGAAGAATAGCCTCAGGCGTAATCCGTGACCTGTAGCTTTAAAAATCAAAAGAAAATGGCCTTTCGTCGACCAAAAAATTACGAAAATGCCATCCGAAATAAATTGGCACAAACCTGTGCTTAATGCACTTATCATCTGTAGAGAATAGGATCAATAGACTTCATTATTGGTTGAGAATAGCCTTCGCTTGATTCCATGATTAGTAGCCTCCATAATCGAAAGAAAATGGCATTTCGAAAAAATCGCATGAAATCTGTGATGGTACCCCTTTGGAATCTTGCGAAAATTGTCCCGGAATAAATCCTCCCAAATACGTGCTTAATGGACTTAATCATCGATGAATAATAGCCTCAGGCCGAATCCGTGACCTCGAGCCTTCAAAATCTAAAAAAAATGGCATATCATTGCCCAAAAAATTACGAAAATGTCATCCGAAAATAAATTGGCCCAAATCGGTGCTTAATGCACTAATCATCTGTGGAGAATAGGATCAATAGATTTTATTATCGCCATCGGTGGAGAATAGCCTCGACCTGATTCCGAGATCTATAGCCTCCAGAATCGAAAGAAAATTACATTTCCGAAAAATCGCCCAAAATCTGTGATGGTACCCCTTTGGAATCCGCCAAAAATTGACCAGGAATAAATCTGCCCACATCGGTGCTTAATGGACTTAATTAGCGATGAAGAATAGCGTCAAGCCAAATCCGTGACATGTAGCCTTGAAAATCCATAGAAAATGGTCTTTCATTGACAAAAAAATTTACGAAAATGTCATCTGAAAATAAATTTGCCCAAACCGGTGCTTAATGCACTTATCATCCTTGGAGAATAGGATCAATAGACTTCATTATCGGTGGAGAATAGCCTCGATCTAATTCAATGATATGTAGCCTCTGGATTCTAAAGAAAATGTCATTTCGGAAAAATCGCCCGAAAACTGTGATGGTACCCCTTTGGAATCTACCAAAAATGAACCCAGAATAAATATGCCTAAATCGGTGCTTAATGGACTTAATCATTGTTGAAGAATAGCCTCAGGCGGAGTCCGTGACCTGTAGATTTCAAAATCTAAAGAAAATGGCCTTTCGTCGCCCAAAAAATTATGAAAATGTCATCGAAAATAAATTGGCTCAAATCTGTGCTTAATGCACTTATCATCCCTGGAGAATAGGATCAATAGATTTCATTCTCGGTGGAGAATAGTCTCAGATTGATTCCGTGATTTGTAGCCTCCATAATCGAAAGAAAATGACATTCTGGAAAAATCGGCTGAAATCTATGATGGTACCCCTTTGGAATCTGCCAAAAATTGACCCGGAATAAATCCGTCCAAATCGGTGCTTAATGGACTTAATCATCGATGAAGAATAGCCTCAGGCAGAATCCGTGACCTGTAGCCTTCAAAATCCAAAGAAAAAGGCCTTTTATCGCCCAAAAAAATACGAAAATACCATCCGAAAATAAATTGGCCCTAACCGGTGCGTAATGCTCTTATCATCCATGGAGAATATGATCAATATGCTTCATTAACGGTGAAGAATAGGCTCGACTTGATTCTGTGATCTGTAGCATCCAGAATCGAAAGAAAATGTCATTTAGGAATAAATCCGTGACCTGTAGTTTTCAAAATTCAAAGAAAATGGCCTTCATC